GGGGGGGAGGCGAAAAACAGGGATAGGGCGAAGAACGAGACGCTGATAGAAGTGAACGGTTAAAGGCGATTATCGAGTGGGGGAACGAGCGATTTCAGTGCATCTTATTGTTGGTTCATTTGAATATTTGGTTGAATTGATGAAATTAAAACATTTAAAATACTCGGGTTAATTCATTGCAGTTACCACAAGGAGGATTGCCGAAGGCGACGTTCAGTCGTGTCAACGATTACATAACAGAAAGAGAACCATTCGAAATGCCAGATGAATACATCACCTTTCAACCGAAAAGTGAATCCGATCTGTTATCAGCGATTGAATATGATGCTGATGAAGAGGTGAGGTGACCTCTTTCGTTTCCTTACGAAATTTTACCAAAGAACTAATTTGTTTCAATGTATCAATATTGGGAACGTTTAGCATCGAATTGATTCAATGAAAGAAATTGCTTTAATTTGTTAGATGTGATCGTTGAGAGATGAAAAAAATGGCCCAGAAAATAATCGATTGATGGAAGCAACTCTTTCCATCTATCTCTTCGAATAAACTTAATGAAGTTGATAAATTTGAGGATTTGGAATGGATATCGTTGGTCAATGAGAAATTGGGTAGAAAGAAAGATCATCAATCGCTAAGTATCACACAGTTTGAAGCTGCCATGGATCGCATGGAGAAAGAAAGCTTCTTCCAAGTAATTGTGATTTTTATCATATTTTCGTCTTTTGGTTTCAAGAAAAATTTTCATGAATTTGCGAAAATTAAGCGGAATTTAGAGTTCAAAAGATGGTGTGCAGTGTGGTCCATCGATTGATCAGGATGCAGTATGTTGTATTTGTAACGATGGTGATGGCTGCAATGCCAATCAAATCATATTTTGTGACCTTTGCAATATTGCCGTTCATCAGGTTCATACGCTTCACTATTGTTCTATTGACAATTATTGTTCAGCACATAACATCGCCAACTTCCGAGAAAACATTTCATATTCAGTGACATTCTTATCACGTGCATGTTTATGCTTGAACTCAAAAGCCTGCATGAATTCATTGTAATATTTGTATTGGATGCAATAAGAGTGAATACACGCTTACTTGAGCATTTCAATAGAGAACGCAATTGTGCCTTTTAAGGATTGTTATGGAGTGCCGTACATTCCCGAAGGTCAGTGGTTATGTAGACGTTGTCAGTTGTCACCGTCGAAACCAGTTCAGTGCCAACTGTGCCCAAGCACACACGGCGCTTTCAAGCGGACCGTTTCGAATCAGTGGGCACATGTGGTTTGTGCTCTTTGGTTGAACGAAGTGGGTTCTGTTCCTTTAAGACATTCAGTTGGTTCAGTCAGCGATATTTGTTCATTGAGGGAACATCTTGAGAGTTTTCCTTCGTATGCGCTTGTTCTCTGAAAG